TCGTTATTCATTACGAGTACTGAAGGCTTATTTTGTAACTCTTAACAAAAATTTCATTATTAATATAACATTGTTGCGCAGATATGTAGTAAAAAAACTGCGCAACGGCATTATAACAATAACAAAACTTTTATATAAAATTACAAAATAAAAGCTGCTAAAAAACTATAGATCGGTATTAGCAGTTGGTTCTTATATTTAAAATCATCTTAAGTACAGTCTTAAGATATCATAAACAAAGAGCTATGTTCAACAGAAAAGCAGCTTTGCAAAATTGTAAAATTTTTTAATATAATTGGTTTATATATTTAGATCCGATGAGGAAGTATTTATATGTAGGGCATAAATTAATCATATTAAAGAATTTTACTATACAGTTACAAAGCTGCTTTTTCTGCTAAACGCAGCCATTCACAGAGCTGTTCGAGTATTGACATCTTAAGATATTATTTAAGACAGTACAGACTTAAAATAAGAATCTACTATGAATACTAGCCTTAGGGCCTAAGCACAAGAAGAGCCGTAACTGATTCGTGAGATGCAATGTATGATTCACATAGCGTACGACGTCTGGTATCCAATAGAAGAATTAGTTTCTTTAAAAGAAAAATACCGCTAGAACTGAATTTTCTTAAACTTCTTCTACAATAGGTTCGCAGTTGTAAGCCATAAGAAATTAATCAATCATAATCGATTATTTTTTTCATATTCTGGATTGGCCAATTTCTTACCTTTGATTAATTTCTTGCGGCTTACGGCTTGCAACTTTATTGTAAAACAGACTTTAGGCTAATTTTTTATATGTCGCACGACAAAGCTTTTCAAGCCTGTTAATTGCAGGACAGAGATATTCTCGGATCTCTGTCTTGCAGCCGATCAACATGCACAAAAAGGGCCCCGAGATAATTAAAAAACGCTCTCATAATCGACAATTGATATAAATTTGTAATTATTAACATAAATATTTAGCTACATTTTATTAAATTCATGATTTTCTATTACATAAATGCTAAATAAATAAATATGCATACTTGTAATGTTATAAGATCTTATATTATTATCATAAAAGTACAATTTTTTTCTCTGCAATTATTACCACTTTTATCAATAATCAAACCCGGATAATAACATTAAAATCACAGTTTTAAATAAAAATCAAGTATTATTTAATTTTGCATACATATCTACAAAATTAATAAATCATAAAATTAATACTATATTATCAATTTCTTATCCTTAATTACATAATTTCTAAGTTTTAGTGAACAGCTTTATAGATACGCGACTCTTGTAAGAATATTGATCTTTAATAGTATTTCGTCCATGCAAAGACAATGACTACGTTTACAGACACTTAATCGAGTTTATTGATATCCGTAGTTACATATAAAACTGGTCAATCATAGCTATTCTTCTGAAGAATCGAACGACTGTGATTAGCCAGTTTCTAACTACGGATGTTACTGACAAAAATGAGTGAGATAGGACGCGAAGACAACTAGTTTTATCTTTTTCTATTCAACGATGTAATGGAAGAGAGAATTAATGAAAGGAAGACGATCGTTTTCACGCTTCCTTTCTCTCATAACTCCCATTTTTGTTGACTATTTGATATACTATTTAGATACGCGGATCGCACAGTCCATACTTTCAATTAATAAAATTCTTTCTTCAAATTAGTCAATCGAATGCTTCGAAAATTTGTATAGCGTCAAGTGAACTGTACGGATAATCACAGATCGCTGGTAACGTGTATGTACGTGTACGACATGAACTCTATAACAGTATCGTTGCTCTGTAATAGTATCGTTGTTGGAGAGGTACCTCTAGTGTTACTAAGAAACGTCTCTCGCTAACTCGGCTTTCTCTCTCGCGGCGTGCTTTTGAATTGAAGACGCGAAGTAAAGGCTGAGAGTGATAAGTACAATTCCTGGATTTGTGACTTGAATAATGAAGAGTCTTCAGTCTTGACACATCAAAACACAAATGATACATATATATTTCGCGAGATTTGTTTGCTTAAAACATTCACTTGTGAATGTAAAATGTGATTGGAATAAAAAATTTATTTCATGCATACGCATTATGCATAAAGTGAAATGCATTCATAATCAATTTCTATGTATTTGAGAATGTCTTAAGTACAGTCTTAAAATATCATAAGCCAATCACAGAGTTGTATTAGCGTCTTAAGATATTACTTAAGACAGTATTAAAAAAAGAACGGATTACGAATACCGGCCATTAATTAGATTTTATTAGTTGCATCACTTTACCGATTGCGCGGCGTCAAAGCGAAATTGGCAACATCGTTTTCGAAGTTTTTGGTTAATAATGAGTACTCTCCAGCAAAATAGACACAAATGACGCAATGTGACACAGTGAATCATTACATCCTTGTTGTTTGCGAATATTAAACAAAGATGAAATGATCATTATGTTACACTAGACTAGTTTCCACCGAAGTCCTCTCAATTTGGTTTCACTTCAATGCAGTTTCTAATAGAAATACTAACACAATGCCAATGGTAACCTTGTAGATCGAAGCGGAAGTAAAATGAGCGCAATCAAACGCATTTTCATTGACTTAAATTTGGTTCTACGCTACATTAAGTGTAAATTAATGTTTCAAAGGAAACTAGACCATTGTTTCTTGTTAGAAAGTACTAATGTAATGTGATGTTCACACGATACTTCGGATTCCGTAACGCGTTTAAATTTGAAGTATACAGTAAGTATATAATCGCAAAAGGTTTGTGTTTTAAATGTGAATGTTCTTTTCGAAAAATGATAAGGTGTACGATTAATGTCGAGAGTAGCATGCAAAGTACGTGATCGTCGCATATTGCTGATTAATGCACGGATGTAATTAACCCTATTTTCGTGAGTGTTACGTGAGTAGCGGCTGAAAGCAGCTGCGGAGAAATCTAAACCTGAAAGGAAAGAAAGCTTGGGAGACGACGGCGAAGAAATCGCTTGTAAGAAGTATATAATATTCGTTATTTATTTATTACTATTATTCTTATTTATTACTGTTTATTACTATTATTCATAGCATTACCATATTCATTTGTTCTCGATTATTTAGATAATTTATCTAAAAGCTGCTCCAGAGTCCAGATCATAGTGGTTTCTTTCACCAATGCAATGTTCCATTGCCAATATATATCAATTTTACTTGTATACATAGAAAAGATTTCCGAGTCCGATACTATATTATACTTTTCGATCTATTATCAAATGGAATTGATATAAGGATAATTATATTTATTATTGAAAGAAGAATATTTTATTCTCTTAAATGAAAAATTCTTAAATCTGGAATAAAATGATTAAGCACATCGATTTTGCGCCAAATATGGCGTCAGCCATTAGGTACACACACACACACACACACACACACACACACACACACACACACACACACACACACACAAACAAAACTCACACACACACACACAC